GGGGTCCCGCAGGGCTCGGTCCTTGGGCCGATACTCTTTAATGTCTTCATCCGCGACTTGGACGAGGGAGTGAAATGTACTCTGTCCAAGTTTGCAGATGACACAAAGCTATGGGGAGAAGTGGACACACCGGAGGGCAGGGAACTGCTGCAAGCAGACCTGGACAGGTTGGACAAGTGGGCAGAAAACAACAGAATGCAGTTCAACAAGGAGAAATGCAAAGTGCTGCACCTAGGGAGGAAAAATGTCTGGCACACCTACAGCCTAGGGAATGACCTGCTGGGTGGCACGGAAGTGGAAAGGGATCTTGGAGTCCTAGTGGACTCCAAGATGAACATGAGTCGGCAGTGTGACGAAGCCATCAGAAAAGCTAATGGCACTTTATCGTGCATCCAACTGGGATGCACGATAAAGGTGCATGACGAATGGGTCCAAGGAGGTGATACTTCCTCTCTATCAGGCGCTGGTCAGACCACAGTTGGAGTACTGCGTGCAATTCTGGGCGCCGCAATTCAAGAGGGATGCAGATAACCTGGAGAGGGTCCAGAGAAGGGCCACTCGTATGGTTAAGGGCCTGCAGACCAAGCCTTACGAGGAGAGACTAGAGAAACTGGACCTTTTCAGCCTCCACAAGAGAAGGTTGAGAGGCGACCTTGTGGCTGCCTATAAGTTCCTCACGGGGGCACAGAAGGGAATTGGTGAGTATTTATTCACCAAGGCGCCCCCGGGGGTTACAAGAAATACTGGCCACAAGCTAGCAGAGAGCAGATTTAGATTGGACATTAGGAAGAACTTCTTCATGGTTCGAGTGGCCAAGGTCTGGAACGGGCTCCCAAGGGAGGTGGTGCTCTCCCCTACCCTGGGGGTCTCCAAGAGGAGGTTAGATAAGCATCTAGCTGGGGTCATCTAGACCCAGCCCTCTTTCCTGCCTATGCAGGGGGTCGGACTCGATGATCTATTGAGGTCCCTTCCGACCCTAACATCTATGAATCTATGAATTGCCTGGACAAGGGAAACAAGGTTTCATAGATTTCATAGACATTAGGGACTGGAAGGGACCTCATGAGACCATTGAGTCCAGCCCCACTGCCATAGGCTGGAAGTCTGAGGGAATCAAATGATGGTTGATGTCATTTATCTGGACTTCAAGAGAGCCTTTAACTTAGTCTCCTAAGGTTGATGTCCTCGTGGTTAACCTGGGGAGCTGCAGCCTTGATCATTACACTGTCCTACGGCTGAGGAACTGGCTCCAGGGTCAGACCCAAAGAGCACTAGTTGATGGGAGTGAATCAACGTGGCACAGGGTGACCAGTGGCATCCCCCATGGCTCAGTGCTTGGGCCAGGACCCTTCAAAATCTTCATTAATGATCTCATTTCAGACATCAGATGTGGGCTGGCAAAGTTCATGGATGACACTAAACTATGGGGGAAAGCAGTCACACTGGAAGACAGGCTGGGGTTATAGGCCAACCCGGGCACGCTTGCAAGGTGGGTGGACCAAAACCTGATGGCTTCCAACATAGAGAAGTGCAGGGTGCTACACCTTGGGAGGAAGAACCAGCAGCATACTTATCGGCTCAGCAGTGATACACTCACTAACACCATAAATGAAAGAGACTTGGGGGTCTTGATTGACCACAAGATGAACGTGAGCCACCAGTGTAATGCCATAGCTGGCAAAGCAAAGCAAATTCTGGCATGCATACACCAATGCATCTCAGGAAAAACCAGGGATGTCATCCTCCCACTTTATTTGACATTAGTGAAGCCGCAGCTGGAGTACTACAGCCAGTTTTGGGCCCCCGCCCCACTTCAGGAAGGATGTGAATACTTCACTGTCAGGGCGGCTAAGATCTGGAACCAACTTCCAAGCGATGTGGTGCTGGCTCCTACCCTGGGGGTCTTTAAGAAGAGGTTAGATAAACACCTTGCTGGGTCGTTTGACCCCCGTACTTTTTTCCTGGCATGGCAGGGGTTTGGACTTGATGATCTGCTCAGGTCCCCTCTGACCCTACCAACTATGAAACTATGGATTGTGGCAGAAATGCCACCGTCGGTGCCCCTCTCCAGAGATCTGTCTCCACCAGCCTGAGAGGCTGGTGTTGAATCCCTCAGGGCAGGGATCTCCCTCCTTGTCTACATGACAAAAGCCTGGGGCCTGAATGCTCTGGTCACCTGGGCAGGGGGGAAAGGCCCGGCCCTGCGCACGGGCCCAGGTAGCCAAGGATGCTTGGTAGATTGGTTGGCTTGTGGCCAGTATTGGCAGCTTCGATTGGACCGGGCTGCTGAGGTCAGAGAGGTGATAAAAAGGCCCGGGCCAGGAAGAAGGCAG